TTACCTACCCTACCTTTTAACATTTAAAATTGTAATACAAGATTTTGTTTTAATAATATCTGTAATTAACTGGGTTAGTTTCAAAATTATACGTTTTTTGTTACATTTTTTACCATATTCACATGTAGCGTCTCCCCTTAAACTTATGTAATAATAATGCATTTGATTTCTATAGTGCTTTTCAAAGTACCAAAGGTCACCTGTTATTAGCAAAACATGAAACATAGGAAGGTTTTTTTTGGCTAAGTAAGTAAATGTAATGAAAATAGATCGAAAACAAAAGTTTGAAAAAGTGAAAACCGTAAATAAAATGTACCATTGTAACTCTGTAAACGACCCTGTGCTGTGTGTTCAGGTAAACAGATCCCACCCCTGGAGAACCATGAGGATGAGACCAGCGAGTCCTTCAAACTCTCCCGACAGCCGGCTGCGTCCACCAGGAGGTGCTGTTAGTACCACAGGGCCCTCAGCATCAAGGACCCAGTGCACACAGTCCATAACGCACAGTGTCTCAATCTGGGGCAAGACGGGACAAGACTGTGAACAGACAGAGGTCAGCTTGTCAACATGAAACAGCAGTATTTCAAGGGTCATTGCACATTTTTCTAATTATTGGTAGCAGTTTCAACTCTTATGAAGTCTGGAAGCCTTCAGTTTGGCCCCCTCAGGTGGGGTTCTGCCTGAATTACATCAAGATTTCTCTCTGTGTGATATGGCACACAGCTCAGTACACATACAGTAGAGGAAGTTAAATCCCAGCTTACAAACTTTAAAATTCAGCACACATTAATAACAAGTAGGGCTGCACCGAAAAGTTGAAGCATTGACATTTGATTTTCTAAATCGGCATTTGTTTGTGTTGTTTACTCATTTTGTTTAAACAAGGTATTCGTGCATAGTTTCAGACAAAGATAAGGCTTGTCTAATACAATTACTATAATACTATTAGATTCCAATTTGATTCATGTGATAGAAACATTTCTCATAACTTGTACAGTCCAAGTAAAAATGTGTTTAAAAAGATAGATGTTATCTTTTTCCTCCATTCACGAGATGTTTTTATGAAACAAAATGTTTTTCTTCAATCAATATTTGTTGGCGTTCAACTGACATCATTATTATTAAAACGGTTTGCTCTTGCCAAATGGAGACAAGCTCCTGTATCAATAGGAGTGTTTAGCAGCAAAATAACAGCAACATAAATGGCCTCTATCTAGCCACAATAACTCATTTTTTAAAGATGTCATACACGTACATCAGACATTCAAAGGTCATTCAAAATCCTACATATAAGCTTTGAATGTAAAATAAATCACATTCGGTGCAGCCCTAATAACAATTGATTTAGCTGATGTGTTTTTTAAAGCCTGGTTTTGATTGTTGATGCAATTACGTTTTCATTTCAGGAGTCTTTTCTCTAGGATTCTTTGCACTGTTACTCTTAAATGGCACGCATTGAATGAAGTTTGAATTACAATTGTTCAACAAGGTTATTATTTTCCTCTCATTTTGTACATTTATGTATGAAATTGAATTAGAATACATTGAATGGGAGGTTGTCGAGATCAGACCTTAGCCAAACACTCACTTCTGTGTTTGGCTCCAAATGCAGCGGCTTTACATTCCTCAACGTTGTGTGTTTTTTCACATTAACTGTCTAAGGGTGTTACGATAATGCTGCAGGATAAACAGCTTACAGGCCTGGTTACAGTATGACACCCCCTGTTGAAACACTGTGATCAATACTAGAATTGTTTACATGGTTATTTGTTCGAGATGTTTTCTACATGCTGAAATGTGTTGTCTGAGATTTCACTACAGGGAATGAATTTTAAATGTTTTTTTTTTACCTGAAAATGGGATTATTTTATGCTGTTAAGAAGAAAAATGACCTGCATGTGTTTTGATGTAAACGTGTCCATAAGGGTAAACCCAACTCTAAAAGAAAATAGGGGAATATAACTGAAAACTTCAGCTTGCAAAGAAGTGGAAAAATGGTAACAATACATATTCCTTATCATAGTTGTATAAACTACAATTATGTTTAATGTTGGCTGTTGTTTCTTTAGTTAGATTTGACCATTCGAGAAATGTTTAACAGCATTTTTGCATTTGTTTAACAGTATTCATTTGGAGTCACTTTTTAGTAAGAGTTCAAACTGTTACAGAGCTTCTTAACAGTATTTATTTTCTTTTTTTTTACATGAAAGTTGGCTTTCATACATGGTTTTGTTTGGAACAGTATATTTTTTTCTACATCTCTAAAGCTTGAAATAATCATGACATCATTTGTACTTAATTTGGTTAGTGCAATGTAAAAGTTATTTAAAAACGTAACATTTTTACCAACATGAAAGATACTGGAGTTCAATTCAAAGCTGTTGGTTCTTTTAGTCTTAATTTTGCTGATCTGTAACATTCCTCCTTCATGTAAAGTCACGCCGAACTGCTTTCAAAAATCTGCTAATTTATGTGGCCTTGCTTCCACTAAAATGTAACTGAAATTGAAAGTTGAAACTGAATTAGGAGTGGCTTGGTTGACCAGATGTTTTCAAATGCAGTTTGATGTGTTATTAATCCATGCAAGAGATGATGACATAATGAGCAAAATCATTTTATAAGATTTTATGTAATATGTTGCCATTGTCATGAGATTTTCATTTATATTTTTCCCCGCACAGTGCCTTTTTTATGTTTTTCTAAACAAATGTATGACATGGCTTAAAAATGCATACTGCAAGAATAATGCATGAGTACAGACTAATTGTAAAAGTCAACTTTGAAACTGCCAATAATGTACACCCACCCTTATAAAGTATGCATAAGACATGCTTCCCTGTATCCTCTGTAGACCAGAATAACTTTTATATATTAATCAGTGTAATAAAGTTGTGATTATTCAATGTTTTTGTTTTGTTTCTGTTACTTTTACTCACTGTAAGGCTCAAATATGTGTTTTTAATTGTCAGGATATCACCTCACTGATTCAAAGTTTTGTTATTAGAGACCAGAGAGATGAGTGATAGGAAAAAGGGGCTCGCTAACAACAAGTCATGACTTGGATTAGCCTCCTGACGTCATGGGAACATGTTTTTGGCTTCACATTATGTGACAATGTGACATGTTTTATCTAAATTTAAACTGTCACTCCCTTAAAACTTTTCCAAAGTTAACGTGCCTTATGAGTTATTACTCTCCAACAACATATACGCTTCAACCCCCAAATAGGACACTCAACAAATCAGTTTTGTGTTACTTTTGCACTTATTTGTGTAACTTGACCCTCTGAAAATGTCAAACAAAGTGGAGCACAGAGTCCTATTCAGTACACTGCAATGTATTACTGCCTCAGCAGCTTACGGGGGGACACTTCTTATCACGGAGTTGGATTTAACCGTAGCCAGAGTTGTCAATAGTCTCTAAGAGAGAAAAGTGCCATATTAATAGTTTTGACACAGTAAACACACTGTGATCAGGTTTCCCATCCATATACATCCAGCAATGTATTTCTATTTTCTCACAGGAAATGGTCTTTTTAATGCAAGAAAAAGTATATGCTAGTTTTGTTAATGTGTTGATAGTGTGGTTTTTGAAATTGACGGCAGGTCTTGCTCTAATGAACTGAGTTAATAATAGTTTTGGGGTGAGAGGGGAGAGAGTTGATGGAGAACATCTAATTATCTAAACATAATAGCTTAAGTCTTAACGCTGCAACTCTGACTACTTTTAAATCCAGACTAAAGACTTTTATTTTTGTCGCTGCTTTTAATTGAACTATTCACATCTTAAACGGCACTGTCACTTTTATCCATGTATTTTTTCTTTTAATGTTTATTTTATTATCTTTTCTTTTTAATGACTGATTTAAAAAAAATTGTATAGCACTTTGAATTGCCTTGTGTTGAAAGGTGCTATATAAATACACTTGCCTTGCCTAATGACAGAGAAAGTGACAACATTCTTTTAAGTGCACTTGTGAAACTGCCAGTCATTAAATGCGTGTGAACAAATGTGTAAAATCAGAAGTAATCTGCTGTAGGCTACATACATCTCAAGGTTATGATACAGATCGATTGCAACAGTGTTAGTTTATATTGTTTCCAATATAAAGTAAACACTGCTCAGTAGGCTACATAAATGGGTAATACATTTATTTATTTAATCATTTATTTGGCAGGGACAATGTAAATAATGAACACTTAAAACATTAAAATGTGTCAAGAGTAACAGTGCCATATTTAGCTTTGAGCTCATTTCCATCCGCAGTCCCTCACATAAAACATTTAAGAAGTTTACATTTTACAAACAGCAAAAACAAAATACATGATATGCAAAAAGTGCGCAAGAGCAGCATACACAATATTTATGACATGGCAGTACAATATAGCAGCATCGACACATAAAGTGCAAGAGGACATACCCCTGTATTAAAGTGCATTTAGTGGTGATTGCACGTCTGTTTGTTTCTCAACCATTCTTTGAGTTGACCTTCAAAACTATTAAGAGTGGGACAATCCTGTATCTCAGTTGGGAGGCTATTCCACAATGAGCTGCCTTTAATGGAGAGGACATTTTGTCAAAAAGTGGTCCGTCTGCGGAGGACTTCACAGTGGTTTCTGACCTAGTGCAGCGTCCAGTGTCTCTTTCCTAATTAATTTAAGGTATTTTTTCTTGTAAGTGTTTCAGTTTATCATGCTTCAACTCAAGTCGTTAAAAAAAATTATGTCGTTATTTTCATATTTAATAAGAATTCAAGTGAGCTGAGATCAGACTTCTATTGTCAATTGTGCAAATAATAAAGAAATGTTTACTTGCTACTGAAATTGAAAAAAACAAACAAGTACATAACACAGACCACGTAACATCCATTTAAATGCCAGGGGGTTAAATAAGGATTCTCCTACTGTATTTAAAGTATTTGTTCTAGTGTTTCAGTGTAAACCGCAGTACGACTGTGTTTAGCCATAATCACATCAGTTGCTGAGACACGTGGACGCGCAACAGGGTTGTGCACACGCACGTTCAAGTAGAGTTGGACCCACATGCTCGTCCGCAGAGCCCAGTCAGCATTTGACTCAGTAGTGGCAGCAGGGGATCTAGGATTTCCACTTGTCAGATATAACTCCCCGTTACCGAAATCCAGTGCAGCCAAAATGTCAAAGTTGGACCAGATCCTTGTCCTTGACCCTCCCGTCGACCTCAAATTTAAAGGTAGGTAAATCAACATTTATTGGCGTGGTGGCGGAGAATTACCTGAGTTGAACGATTTCACACTCCCTCCAAGCAAATTTCGCTGCTAGTAAGCTAGCTAGCATTCACCGCCATTTTAAGTTAGCCAGGGAAAGAGACAGGCCGCTGTTTCCTCCTCGAGCTGTAGTGACGTGGAACGCCGGCGTGGCGAGCCTCTTGACCGGCTGCCATTTGTGACCTGCTGCCTGACAACACTTAGCAACGAGAGGTGGAAGAATGTGTGATAACTGCCTGGTGTTGTTTGCTAAAGTGAACACATAACGAAGTATCCTTAGTATAAACGTGAGCTACTAACGTTATGCTGTGGCTACAAGGTGTTAGCAACTTTTGTTTCCTTGGGGCTCAGCCTACCCTGACATGCTTAGCACTCGGACGTAATGTTGAGTTAAATTCACTTTTTTAGAGATAATTGTAGTGTCCAACCCGACATTTGTCATGTTTAACGTGTGAAGGAACTGACCGTTGGAATGACAAACTTTGCTAACTGACGTTAATAACGACAGCAACATTTAGTTAGCTCATTCAAGATTCAAAGGCTTTATTGTCATCAGTGGTGGCACAAGTATTCACATTCTTTACTTGAGTGAGTACTAATACCACACTGAAAATACTACCTTTCAAGTAAAAGTACTGCAACGAGAATGGTACTTAAGTAAAAGTATAATAAGAAAAATGTACTTAAAAGTATTTGGAGTTAAAGTACTCCTTGCCGAATAAACAATATACATATTTTAAATGTGTTAAAGCTAAAGCAGCAAATCTTCACATTTAAGGAGCTAGAACTGTGAAACGTTTTTTAAGAGAAAACGTCTTAGTGCTGCCACTTCATTTTCTGTTAACCCACTCATGGTGTTAGTTACTTGGATATAATGTTGAATGGTTTAATGTTTTTTTAAGTGTTGTGTGTGAAAATCTGAACTTTTAAAGGAAATGGTGAATACATCTGTAAAATAAATATATGGTAGTAAAAAGTACAACATTGGCTTCCAAAATCTTGTATAATAGGAGCAAAAAGTACCATGAATGTGTACTAAAGTATAATACTTGAGTAGATGTACTTTGTTACTTTCCACCACTGATTGTCATATGAACAGTAGGTACAGTGTAGTAATGGCATTACATAGATTAAGTCCCAGGCTCCTCCAACAATGCAGGAAGGAATAACAGAATATAAATTGAAAAGTGCAAGAGAATGTATCGGGACTAATGTGAAAGTAAATGCAGGGGAAGTTAAATGTATACATGTAAAATTGAATAAGAAGAGCTAAAAAATTGAATGTACAATTAAATACTGTACTGTGAAATAAAATACTGCTTATTGTAATAATAAATACAAATGTGAGATGCAAACAGGTGATGGTATAAGGTTGTGTTATAGAGCAGGGGTTCCCAACCCCCGGTCCGCGGACCGGTGCCGGGCCGCGAAATAGCTGTGAGTTTATCATAATATTTGCAGAATTATAAATATATAAAAATATTTTATCATATTTTTTTCAAAAAGTGTTTAATTTTCGCACCTATACCAGTCATATTATTTCATCCAGTAGTAGCCTAGTAAATCTTTCACCAGCAAAGAGTTGAAAATGGCTTTTATGATGTTCCGAGGGATTCGGCGGCTCAGCCTAAGGTCTCAGCCTCTTGCGCGCACAAGAAAGTTACCGGTGCGCCAAGTAGGAAGAGGAGCGCACAGGAGACAACCGTTTGATTGCAGACTGTTATGTTTATGTGGAGAAATGCAGTGCGTACATTATTTGAGATATATTTCGGACTTCATTTTAAGGACATGTCGGCCAGGGGTGTAGAGCTATTTGTTTAAGCACCGGATTGGCAAAACAGGAGAGTAAACCAGTCTGCCTTGATCTATGAATTCATGTCTGGGACTCACGGTATCTGCTGCAGCTCCTTATAGAAGGAAAGCCTCCTTCACTTCATGAAATGGCTGCAGCATCAGGAGGCAGCGAATATAGGCAGCGTATACTATACCAGCGCGCTGAGAGCTGTGCCTTTTTACGCACCGCCTTCGCTGTGTTTACCTTCATCAGAACAGCGAGTGACTGCAGGCTGCTACGTGTTAACCACACACACCTCTACACACATCGAACTGCCTGATTACTCCCCCTTTTATTAGTTTTATGAAGGAGATGTCCAGTCACCAAGGTGCATGATGTGTGTGTGTGTGTGTGTGTGTGTGTGTGCTCTGCTCAGCTCAGCTCTGTGTGTTCGGTGTGTTTGTGTCTGTCCGACACCAGCATTTGTTTTCAAATGACCATGAACAGTAATTTACACACATCTGGCTAACTCCATAGGTAACCTATATGCGGGTGTTCCCATAATAAGTTAGTTTAATCTTAATCTCGATGTAGTGCTAAATGCTGTCGGAGTGCACTATGAACGACACTATCATATCTTCTGAAAACAAATGCCACACACACACACACACACACACACACACACACACAGGCGACCGGACATCTCCTTCATAATGCGCCTTCTCCTCGTTTTCCCAGCATTCACTGGATTATCCGTAAATCATACAAACAAAACCAAAATGTTGATTTATCTGTTTTCCCGTTTTGGTTTAAAAACTGAATAACGTCGGTTTTCCGTTTTTAAGAAAAACCAAAAAACACCGGTTCTTTTTTAAACGTTGTTAATATGTTTTGGATGCATATTGTTCTAGTATTTGTTCAGGCTGTTGCATACAATTAGCCTCTGTTGCTGCCTGCTGGTGGTGAGTAAATATTAAAATCAGTTCAAATTGACAACCGGTCCGCGATTTTTTTTTTTTTTAATGGATCTGCCGGTCCTTGGCACAATAAAGGTTGGGAACCCCTGTATTAGAGCTCAGGAGTTTTAAGTCTCATGGCCTGTGGGTTAAAACTGTCCCTCAGTAATTTCTTATTTAGTTCTCCATGTACAGTCAGTCAAGTATTCTGGTTAAATTGTGTTGACAGACAACCTTACAATCACAGTAAAGCAAAGCAGTCCACACATTAGATTACCACAGTGATTGTTTGCCTGTCCATGATAACGTTCATTGATGTGTCGGTGAACTGTTGCTCATATAGCTTGGCTTGCTTGCTAATGCAAAAGTTGATATATTGCTAATGCTCTAGCTAGATATTTAGCTAGCTGCTCTACTAGCCAGTGGTGTAAAGTAACTCTACATTTACTCAAGTATGTACTTAAATACCATTTTGAGATTCTTCTACTTTACTTGAGTATTTCAATTTGTAGCTGCTTCGTACTTCTACCCCACTACAATTCAGAGGGAAATAATGCACTTTGACTCCACTACATTTATTTAATATCTTTAGTCAGTTTGGAGATTTATAGAAAATAATGTGAAATATTAACAACCCTTTTAATAAGACTTTATTTACACCTGGAGTAACATTCACAAGCTAATATGAACTAGCTGCACCTCTACCAGCTGTATGTAACTCTGAAATGGACCAATTTCCATAATGAGTACTCATACTTTTGGTACTTTAAGTATATTTTGATTGTAATAGTTGGATACCTTTTACTTGAGTAACATTTTGTATTACATTTTTACTTGTAACAGAGTATTCCTATCCTATACTGTGGTACTTCTACTTAAGTACAAGATCTGAGTACTTCTCCCATCTCTGTTTACGACAAACTTTGTTTAGCATTTTGCAGCTGAGGTGTTAGAAGTAGACATACTACAAACAAACTGAAATAAAAGTCCTGAATTTAAAATCTTACTTATGCAAAAGTATTGTCATCAAAACATACTTAAAGTACTGATGTGCGTATTGTCCTATTTTCCATCATATAAATGACTTGATTATTATTTTTGATGCATTAATGTGTTCATCACAGCTGGTTAAAGTGTTGCTACATTTAATTACTTTATGTACTAGTACTAGTGGATATACTAACCTTAATATTTATTTATCACAGTTTATCTATTAGTTTATGCATATTTTGTATTTGCTTATCATTTGAAAGTGACTAGTAACCAATTTAGTCGAATAAATGTTGCGAGTACAATATTGGCTTCCAAATCGTAGTATAAGCATAAGGTACCATAAAATAAGAATACTCGAGTATACAAGTACCCCAAAGGAGTACTTGAGTCAATGTACTTCAATACATTACACCACTGTTTTGAGGACATTTCTCATGGCTTCAGAAACTCCCGTAGCTTAAGTTTCAACTGTTGCTCTTGTTATAAAGTAACCATTACAAGTCATTGTGATAACAGCTAACAGTAACACCGTATTGTCCTGATGTAAGTACAGTTTCAGGGAAGTCTGTCAAAACCACGGTGTTGTAAAACATTCCTAGCAGTTGAAGGATTTATCGTGAACATTATTCATTTCAATCCAGAATTATTTAACTTTAATTGCATTTGTCCCAGTCTCTGCTGCAGACTTATTTGTTTCTATAAGACACTGTTTTATTGTTGATGGACTGTCATTGAACCACAAATCTTTCAGCCCATTTTCTTGCTGACACTAAATGCTGATTGTTAGTTAGGACTAGGTATGAGTGGATACTGATTGCAGCCTGGACATGACAGGGCTGTAGGAAAGGTCACCAGTTCAAATGGCAGATAATACACTGCAAAACAGCTTTGGGTGGGGGGGGAAGTCACAGAGATGTTTTAGGGAGGAGGTGTCCTATTTGAACTTTACACCTCTTAAGAACACAGACCGAGAAGAAGCGGGAAAGCCTTTGTTGACCCAAAAACATGCAAACATTTCTCTACTTTTCTTTAAAATGAACAACTTTATTTTCCAGTTATAAAAAATGATCATTTCTGCTACTAGTAAGCCTGACCGCATCATCGGGTATAGGGTGATGAATGGAGCATGCCAGTCAATGAAATTGGAAAGGGACACAGCTTAAATAAAACTCGTGATAAATTGACTTTAAAACTAGCTAGCTGAAATGTTAGAGTAGTGGTGACTTGAGCATCTGTTCGATCT